CGATAGAGAAACTGTTGGATTTCGAAGATGAGAAATATGCTATGGCAATAGAACAAACAAGAAGAAAACAAAGGAGTTCTTTACTGTAGGTTTTATTTCAATCTTGGCACGTGGGGGGCTATCAAAGTCTGGTAGGGAAACAGCGTTATGAACAAAGCTTCGTCACGACCCAGATCGGCATGCTTACCAACAATTTACGATACCCATAACTCAGGAAACCAACATCTAAAGTCCATAAGCATCCTGCACGTAGGTAACCCCTAGCTAGCTAGATCATATGGCACGGAAATTTCGTCAGAATTTACTATCTTTCCTTATGCAACAATGTTTTGCATGTAAAATTAATATTGCATAACCAGAAATATTTTGCATACCAAATATTTAATCGGTTTTTTGGTATGCAGTATTTAAATTTGTGTGCACACGAAAACAATAGTTTATTGTGACGTACTTCCGGTGACATAAGATCTATTGTCCCTGGTGGATCCTACACTATGTGGACAGGTGCGCATGAGTCAATGGAAAAGTGTTTATGAATGTAACTATTGTTCAATATGGGAAAATGTGTTAATGAATAAAACAGTTCACTGAGGAAATCGCACATTTGTAATATTGACTCAATGCGAAAATGCATTGATGAACATGTAGTCGTTTAGGAAAATGTAAGTGCATAAATAAGTGATTTACAAGAGATGTAATATCTGTGATACTTTTGTTGGGCCCGTATTTTCATGCACGTACTGATACGTGAGTGGGATTTCAAACAATAAGACGATAAAACCTCTGCAGTATGAAGTCTTATTACAGATTTAAGCATAAACTTACCAGAGCATTTTGTGTATACGACTTCTTCATAAAACCAGTACTGAAGATAATGATTATACTAATTATAATAACAAAATAACATCTGCAAGATAGAAACTGGTTGATGATTTTGCTGTTGTGGTGTCTGAAATGTTGAAACCTTAGGTTGACCCAGGAAATGAGTTTTTTTCGGCTTGCAACATTAGTAATATTTTTTTTGAAAATTTAAAGTGACCAAAGGAGAAAAAACAAAACCCCTCAATATGAGGACAAACCGCAGTAACTCTGGAAAACGTTAGAAAATATGCTGACTCCATTCATCATTGCTCTGCAGAAGAAGTTATTTGAGGTTAATAGATTTACAGTACCATATTTGACCTTTGTGACCCATAAGCAGCAGGCTTATGACATTCATATTCACTTGAGAACCTTCCATCCAAATCAGTCATAGGACAAATACCCCTCCTCGAAAAAGTCACCATCTGGATGGTTTTATTGGGACGAGACGTTTTATCGGAAACGAAATGTTCCTTTTTTTTAACCAAAGTCAGTTATGTAGGAGCCGACAGAATGCCATACATCGATCTTGTCATAATATTTCAAGTTTTGGAAATAAGTTGGTGTTATGCTCAATCGTATAATATTCACAGGTATTGTATGGAGATGTATGACCATCTTTCATGACCCATACAAATTCCCTTATTACATCTTGATAGGATTGGGATAGAATAGTTGGATGGTGTGATAATCACACCACACAAGCGTAGGTGTTCTCTGTAAATACTTGTAGTCAGAGAAATATGCTACAGACTGCATACCCAAAAGTATGCGAAATGGTAAAAGATTGAATTATAAAGAAACAAATGTATATACAAATGCACCATCAGTTACCGAAAATCACATACACACGTGCACTTAACACATACTCCCTAACCCCCTCTAGCATGCATTCCTTTTGTGCCATCATACACCACAAATATACACAATACACCGCATACCAAATAAAACATTTCAATAATTTAACAATTACACACATCATTGTGCATGTATGTCACTTAACATACCAACATTTTCAATGTTGTAACAAAATGTATAAAGCATATCTAATTAATCTACAAGTGTATGAAAAGTTTACTTATCAATGTCAGCATGGCATGAAAATGTCAACTAAACGGGAATACGTTTTGTCATAACAACTGTATCGCAAATAAATATTTATATGTTGAACATTTTTCTTCGTACAAACTTCAGGATCAAATGGGAAACAATTGAGGATTAAACATTGTCTCTAGTACACTAACAGCGATTCGTCAATAAACACAGGTATACTGGGTCGTCTTTAAATTATTGCCAAAATACCCGGTCAAGTAACGATCGCGAAAAACAACGATTGCCAATGGACAGATATATACACGGTTGTCCGCAAAACGATCATACTTTACGAATATTTACAGGGTTTTCCAGCAAACAATCACATTTGATGAATATTAACACGGCTGTCCGCAAAACGATCACAATTTACAAATATTTACAGGGCTGTCCAGTAAATAATCACACTTTACGAATATTTACAGGGTTGTCCAGAAAACAATCATACTTTACAAATATTTACAGGGTTGTCCAGAAAACAATCAAACTTTACAAATATTTACAGGGCTGTCCAGCAAACGATCATACTTTACGAATATTTACAGGTTTGTTCAGAAAACAATCACACTTTACGAATATTTACAGGGTTGTCCAGAAAACGAGCATACTTTACGAATATGTACAGGGTTGTCCAGAAAACAATCACACTTTAGGAATATTTACAGGGTTGTCCAGAAAACAATCATACTTTACGAATATTTATATGGTTGTCCAACAGACAATCAACATACAGAGTTTTCAACAATGGGCAAACATATACATGGTTTCCCAGCAAACGATTGCAATTGACAAATATATACAGGGTTACCCAGGCAACGTTCCTCATCGGGTAAGTATATATACATGATTGCCCCGAGAACGATCGTCAGGTTTACCTTGCAAACTATCGGAATCGGCCATAGATACAGGGTATGGTCGTCAACTACTAAATATATACAGGGTATGGTCGTTAACTACTAAATATATACAGGGTATGGTCGTCAACTACTAAATATATACAGGGTATGGTCGTCAACTACTAAATATATACAGGGTATGGTCGTCAACTACTAAATATATACAGGGTATGGTCGTCAACTACTAAATATATACAGGGTATGGTCGTCAACTACTAAATATATACAGGGTATGGTCGTCAACTACTAAATATATACAGGGTATGGTCGTCAACTACTAAATATATACAGGGTATGGTCGTCAACTACTAAATATATACAGGGTATGGTCGTCAACTACTAAATATATACAGGGTATGGTCGTCAACTACTAAATATATACAGGGTATGGTCGTCAACTACTAAATATATACAGGGTATGGTCGTCAACTACTAAATATATACAGGGTATGGTCGTCAACTACTAAATATATACAGGGTATGGTCGTCAACTACTAAATATATACAGGGTATGGTCGTCAACTACTAAATATATACAGGGTATGGTCGTCAACTACTAAATATATACATGGTTTCCGTGACACGATTGTTAATGGTCAAATATATACAAGGTAACGTAACAATAATTGCAGGACAAAAGTTTATCGGGCAGGAGGTTATAGAACGAAAGTATAACGATCTTATCACTACGACAACAGGTACAGAACAAAATAAGGAAAACCATGGGTCAAATCTAAAGGAAGACGGGCACCAAACAAGTTACCGAGGTAAATCTAGCTTGGTTTTAAAACAATAACATAATCATCAATTCAACATGGGTAAATAAGATAAACAACTTGTCAATGTATAATTCTGCAAAAAGATCACAATGGTAACTCTATATAATAAACAATTCAGGAATAAAACCTACCTATTATCACAGGTGCTAAACATGTGTAATGATTCGATAAGTGATGCATATTATAGTCAAACACTGATTTGGGAGGCACGTGGTGTAACAACAATAACGGGCTAGGATATTATACTTACATTTTATCATTTTGGTAAACAGATTAGATTATTTTTCGCGTTCACAAAGGGGTACTTATAAAGCACATTATTCAAACTCGTTATATAAGGAATGTTACTAACTAATGCGTGATTGTTAATGACCTTCCCTAAATGGACTAATACATTACCGTTATAATGTTCCCTACATTGACTTATACATAACCGTTATCATGTTCCCTATATGGACTAAAACGTTATTGTTAAAATGTTCCGTATATGGACAAATACATTACCATTATAATGGTTCCATATGGACTAATACATTACCGATAAATGTTCCTTATATTGACTAACCCATTAGCGTTATACTGTTCCCTATATGGAGTAATAAGTTAGCGTTATGATCTTCCCTATATGGGCGAATACATTATCGTTATAATGTTCCCTATATATACTGATACATTGCTGTAATAATGTTCCCTATCTATACTGATACATTGATGTAATAATGTTCCCTATATATACTGATACATTGCTGTAATAGTGTTCCCTATATATACTGATACATTACCGTTATAATGTTCCCTATATATGTTCCCTATATATACTAACACATTACCGTTATAATGTTCCTTATATATACTGATACATTACCGTTATCATGTTCCCTATATGGACTAATACATTACCGTTATAATGTTCCCTACATTGACTTATACATAACCGTTATCATGTTCCCTATATGGACTAATACATTACCGTTATAATGTTCCCTACATTGACTTATACATAACCGTTATCATGTTCCCTATATGGCCTAACACATTACCGTTATAATGTTCCCTATATATGTTCCCTATATATACTAACACATTACCGTTATAATGTTCCTTATATATACTGATACATTACCGTTATCATGTTCCCTATATGGACTAACACATTACCGTTATAATGTTCCCTATATATACTAACACATTACCGTTATAATGTTCCCTATATATACTAACACATTACCGTTATAATGTTCCCTATATATACTAACACATTACCGTTATAATGTTCCCTATATATACTAACACATTACCGTTATAATGTTCCCTATATATACTAACACATTACCGTTATAATGTTCCCTATATATACTAACACATTACCGTTATAATGTTCCCTATATATACTGATACATTACCGTTATAATGTTCCCTATATATACTGATACATTACAGTTATAATGTTCCCTATATGGACTAATACATTACTGTTTAAATGTTCCCTACACGGACTTAAATATTACTGTTAAAATGTTCCCTATATAAACTGATACATTGCTGTAATAATGTTCCCTATATAGACTAATTTATTACCGTTAAAATGTTCCCTACACGGGCTTAAATATTACTGTTAAAATGTTCCCTATATCGACTAATACATAACCATTATAATGTTCCCTATATGGACTAATACATTAGTGTTATAATGTTTCCTATATAGACTAACATATAACTGTTTATAATAGTCACTATATATCAGTATCTATGACTATTTATAATGTAATTATTATACTAGGGATATATGCATGTATGTTAATAACTTTGGATTGAAGTTTTCCGTTGTTGGCAAACCAATTTAAGCAGTCTTATCTTTAGTATCATAGTAATACAGATAAAATGAAGTAAGTTGGAGCACGATCTATGTGACATGTGATCCGTGAATAAACACCTTCACTAAGTCGGGTGTCATCAATCACTAACGTATTAAAATGTCTCCTAGGCATATTTCTGAAGGCAAAGTTTGTCTAATGAATTATTCATATACTTTAGGACTTTATAAGACTATAAATACTGAATCTTCCTTAACCGTGTAACGCATTGAGGCTCCACACGGAGAGCAATTGGTGTAATTTGTTTTGTGTTGGATTCACCATTAGATAAATTCTAGGGAATGTGTTTGTTCACAAGTGTTTAATGCCTCACCACAGGAGTACCCAGATACTAACAGTGTATGAGTTCCCCCGCTTAATGCGTGCAAAAACTAAATACATAACAAATTACTATCGAAAAAATGTACATAGTATCTTGACAATGATAACATGTGTATGTACTGGTACTCCAAGAAGTACGAGTCTCTAAACATCCGGAAAGTGTCTGACACTTGCATCGGAATCACTTCCCATAACGGCTATATTCAATGTAACAAATCATAAGGCCTCCGGCAAGTTACAAATATTACAAATCTATGATGAGCCAACTACACATTGGATAATGTTTGTGTCAGTCAAGTTTTGTAGAAGTCATTTAAAATCTTGAAACAAGTTCACCCTGGTAAACTTTAAGTTGGGTCACTGTAACTTGACATATTCCACGAATCTAGGCATTACAAATATTTTGTTTGAGAATATTCAGATTTAACAATGATTATAATTCAGTTGACATCTTTCACGTTTACATGATAGCCATTATGCTTCATTGAGAGATACCGAGGAAATGAAATGACGTTAGGCACATCTGATCCTTGTGACCTCAAAGTTTATCAATGATTTTTATAAAAAGATCAATGATAATTATAAAAACACTCTTTAATCTTAATTAAACATTTAGTCCGAGCGACTTTCGAAGTGGATAGGGATTAATGACTTGAATAAAGTTTTTAACCCTTCAACTATTTAAATATATGAAAATGTAATTATTTTTGACAATAGGGTTTTGAAGGTGACATTTGTTATCACACTACTGCTTGTGAGCCTCTCTCAGTACAACTACGGTACCCTTTGGCTACCTTTTGTTTCTGTATATCCTCATGATGTTAAGGAACCATTCAAATTTAAAAAAAAATAAGTACTGTTTTTCATAGAAGATATTTCAAAAGTATTGCACAAAGCCACCACGAATTCCCCGCAGTCAACCTATATTTTTGATAGCACCTAAGCTGCAGATGAGTGCAATTGACACTCTTAGACTCCACAGTGAATAAAGGAATATCTTTTTGCGTTATAATTAATCATTAACCATCAAATCATATATAAACATATTTTTGTCAAGATAAAACGACGCTACAAACCTTGATACTGCCGTTAAGGGAACAATGCCAGCCTATCACGAAAACCCACAGAGTGAGTTATTAAACCTCATTAGAGTCGGGTTTCCCTTCAACCTGTCACGAAAACCCACAGAGTGAGGTATTCAACCTCATTAGAGTGGGGGTTTCTCCTTAAGCCTGTCACGAAATCCCACAGACTGAGGTATTCAACCTTACTAGAGAGTGGGTTTCCCCTTATACCTGTCACGAAATCCCACAGACTGAGGTATTCAACCTTATTAGAGAGTGGGTTTCCCCTTCCACCTGTCACGAAATCCCACAGAGTGAGGTATTCAAACTTATTAGAGTGGGGTTTCCCTTCAACCTGTCACGAAATCTCACAGAGTGAGGTATTCAACCTCATTAGAGTGGGGGTTTCTCCTTAAGCCTGTCACGAAATCCCACAGACTGAGGTATTCAACCTTACTAGAGAGTGGGTTTCCCCTTATACCTGTCACGAAATCCCCCAGACTGAGGTATTCAACCTTATTAGAGAGTGGGTTTCCCCTTCAACCTGTCACGAAATCCCACAGAGTGAGGTATTCAACCTTACTAGAGTGGGGTTTTCCTTCAACCTGTCACGAAATCCCACAGAGTGAGGTATTCAACCTCATTAGAGAGGGGTTTTCCCCTCCGAGACTAAAATCTTTAGACAGCTGTCAGAAAGAAGCCAAAGAGAAATGGCAAGCTCCTCTATAGAAGGGCTGCATGTTTAACATGACATTTAAGGCATCTACACGATGGCGGATAACAATACAAGGCAGAATCCTAACTTCGTTGAGGTATAAACACGATGGCGGGTGACGTAACAAGCAATGATCTTAACTTCATTGAGGTATAAACACGATGGCGGGCGACTAGAGATTGGCTGAACTTGGTTGAGGTATATACACGATGGCGGGCGACGAAACAAGCAATGCTGTTAGCTTCATTGAGGTAAATACACGATGGCGGGCGACGATACACGGGCTTGACTTCGTTGAGGTATATACACGATGGCGGGCGACGATACAAGGGCTAGATTTCGTTGAGGTATTTAACAGGACATAAAGCCTGCTTATTACTGGCCGACCTAACCAAAATCATTCCATTCTCGACCTCATCTCCCACTTGTAGTACAATCTGAATATGGAAGAAAAAACGATAATGTATAACACTTACGAAATTGTTTTAAAAACACATTCATGCAGGATAATAAAGCATCTAGTTCCTTGCTGCTGTCTTGTATTACGGTGCGTAATCTATCCTAACCTATCTGTCCTTTTTCTAGTGAGTTTCTTCTAACCATGCTTCTGTGGGAGTTTTATTACCTGTATAAATTTCTTACCTGCATTTTGGAGGTTTCTTTCTGCTAAAATGGATTTTGAAGGAGGTCCATCCATTACTTATGTGATAATATCTTACCTTATCTATTGGACAGTTCACATTTTGAACGCAATTTGGAGAATGTTCATTCATGGTCTTCGAGGGCAAATTGTACGTGACATGTTGGAGATTATTTTCTTACTACTTGATTGTTGGGAAGAGGGCAATAACGATTTTTCTTTCATGGTCGTTGAGGGCATACTGTACATGAGACTTTAAAGATTTTTCTTACTACTTGATCGTTTGGAAGAGGACAAAGTAAAATAATTCGTTACCCGGCTTTCGTGGGGCATGCTTCAACCGACATGCTTCCGACAACTACTTCAGGGTGTTAACGTCTCTAACCTGATTCTGAAGTGTTTAATACCTAAGCAGTTGTTTTTTCCCTTTTCATTTGGAAAGGTAAGATGCCTTACCTGCTGTTGTGGAGGCGTTCTTACTGGTCGCTGAGGGCATTCCATACATTAACTTTAAGGGGTGTTCCTTACCTGGTATTTTGGAGGGTCTGACCTTGGTTTCTATATCCGGCATTCCGTTTGCCCTTTACAGATTTGTCATCCGTTTTTTTTGTTAACCCCTTCAGCAAAGCAATTACAAGGCGATGGACCAGAATCAGCTTATAGGACGTTTTATATATATGAACCGATGAGTAATTTTGATCTATGGTTTTTAAGAAGCAAAAGCGATACAACTTTTTTGGAACATATAAACAAGTCAGCACGTAAACAGTATAAATTTCCTCGCGTGAATGACACATATGTTCCATAAATGCCAACGACCTTGGCATTCTGACACACGTTTGAGGCATCTAATACTTGACCAATATATGAAGCTTTATCAACAACTGTTCTAAATTAAAGTCGCTAGATGCTAAAAGAGGAACATACACACGAACGAACAAACAGAAAACTATATTCCCATCCCGATCTGGTTTTTATTTATGGGAAAATAATTAAGTGCTGAGTTTTATTTTCAGTGTATGTAGAAAGTCTGACACCCAGGCAATCCTCAAACACAAACTATGTCTATCTACTGATATTACCTTACCTAATCAGATCAACTTGTCCTACCATCAAGAAAGGGAATGTTGTGATATTCTTACCTGGTCTTTATGCAGTTTTATGCCGTTTCCCCCTTCAGTTAGGTGCATGGGTTGTGTAACTTGATAGACCCTCTGGGCAAACTGAAGCGGTATAACGTACTTGGCGGGAAAGTAACCCACTTTCCCGTTACATTTTCCCTGTACACAAACCAAAATAAATAAAGAATCGCCTAGTTAACAGTTGCTAGTTAACAGTACACACAATTTCCAAAAAAAATCGAATTACAATTAAATCTTTAAACATAGTGTTCCATTTCTTTCTGCAGTGTTGCAGCATCAATCAGGACCAATTCAAAACAATTAATCATTATCTAAATTACATTCGGTTGTATCTTCATATCCTCAACATTCTATTATAATATTCATTACCCGAACCAATATGAAAGATAAAATAAAAAAAACCGCAGTAATACAAAAGATTCGAAGAGAAAGCCGATAATAAAATTACGACATAAACTAAGGAGACGGGAGAGATCAAAACAATAGGAAATGCAACAGTAACCCCAATACAAAATATATACGAAACCCGGTGTTCCGGAAGGGTAAGCGTTTCCAGCACTGCATGTGGCGAACATCAGTATGTTTCTAGTTCAAGACAGGAAAGATATTAGAAAGTTCCACAAGCTAGGACACAGTGCAAAAGAAGACTTCAATCTGGGAAGACATTAAAAATATCTGGACAAGATGACGACCGCGAAATTTCTTATGTAGATTGACACCTCTTGGGTAGAAAACCATAGAAAAAATTGTTACTAATCAAAAGAGCTATCTAGTAAATCGTGGCACTTGAGAAGGAACTGTTGTTTTGCATTCTTGTAAAGCTGCGAAGAGCGATGAGATACTTGTTTGCGGTAAGATACTGCTCCGATCCGTTCATTTCATATTCAGTTACATGTACAATATAACATAAAATGTTCGAAGGCATTTTCTGTCGTGGTTTGAAGCCATTCAGATCGATCTGTGGAACAACTTTTCCGTGGATTCATGTACCCCCCCCCCCCCCCCCCCACCAGTTGTAAAGTAAAGTACATAAACTACTTTTCTCTATTTCCAATCAACCACGAAAATCATGAACGTGGAACATTCCATGTTATATAGTAGTATGTACTATTGATGTTTATCCTTAAACAACAAATATTTTTAGAAACAATTGCGCCTTATTCATTCTCTACGATTTTATATAAGAAGAAAAGACTCCTAATTTAAGACTTTAAAACACACACTTTTAATTTTACTAACACAAAATGTGATGACTTCAATTCATGATTATTTCTTTCCTTATTAGTACCCCGCTTTCGAAGTTTACTCTAAAGCCCGTCTTTATTAGTACCCCGCTTTCGAAGTTTACTCTAAAGCCCGTCTTTATTAGAACCCCGCTTTCGAAGTTTACTCTAAAGCCCGTCTTTATAAGTACCGCGCTTTCGAAGTTTACTCTAAAGCCCGTTGTTAGTATCAGGAGTTACATGTCACAGTTGATTGTTAACCCAAGTAATTCCGAGTACCAAGTCAATATACGTTAAAGATCTGACACGAAACAATCAGAACCTGATTTCCGATTATTGAATTTAAGTGTCTGATATATATGATTAAAGGCTTTTCATGTGTTTTGGACATCTGATGACCTACAGAGTTCAAGGGCTCGAACAGAAACATCCTGAAGGGTGCCACATTTGGTGCAGATGAATCACTTAAGAATTATTTGCTTACGGTTGTTTGTGCGTTCAGTTTTACCTATTTTACCTCGTGTTTTTGAATATATTTCTTGATAGTTTGGTATTTTTCATATAACCATATGCATCCATCCACATGTGGGGAAAATCGGAATAACTCGAACCTACCTTCCACCAGTCAGGATCCGAACTGTCGACAATAAAAAGACGCCAGCCTGCCCTGTAATTCAAAAATTATTATTCAACCAAGACTGTACACAATTTCATTACAAGCCAGAAATACTTTATATATCGTAAATGCAATCAGACCATACATGACGTCACTGCAAAGTCCCGGTAGTTGTTTTTCTCTGCTTAACGTGCAGCAGTTCGGGTAATGACAACAACTGGTTTAACCGTGGTCAGCATAATGTAACCGGGTCGAATGATGTGCTAGATGAGGAAGTAGCCCTCTTATGTCAGTATCAGATTTGAACTATCGCAGGGAGGCAAATGCACAAACATGGAGGCACGTTCTTAAGTGATCTTAGCTGTTAAAAGGACGTTAAACAAAATAAAACCAAAACCAACGTCACTTACAATCCAGACTGTACATGACGTTACTACAAACCATACTGTATTTAACGTCACTACAGTCCACTGATCATAACGTAGTGTTTATATAAGACATTCTAATTATATCATAAATTTGTATTTTTGCTCTTTGTCTCCCCTGTGGAATATACGTCTATTTTCTTAGAAAAATATCCGAAGTGCAACATAACTCAAATAATCCATTCTGAGGAAATGTGTACTAATACAGAACAGCATACAGTACATGTATAACGCACAGTGATATCACCTGGTAGAGGACACATTTGGTCGTATTACCTGAGATCCATGTCATCCTTCTCCTTGCCCCGAAAGTTGTACAGCGCTACATACACTGTGGTGTTGACCTCTTTCGATTGCTTTCTTTGTGCTTTCTACATAAAATACACACAGTAACAATATTAATGCATATCTCCAAACTCCAAGAATGATTTAAAGTGAAGGCAAAGCTGATTCTAATTCAAGTGATGTCCATGTGGTGTCGTTTATGACGTTTCTTATGTGTTTTATGACACAAGAATTACCTACACACAAACTTTGCAGGAGAAACACATTTGGCTATATTTCACATAGAAAAACAGAACATAAACAGTTATCCCTATATCCAACATGATAAAACATGAAAGTTTGATCATAGCAGGTTGTTAATTCAATGCATCAAAACATCAGTTGGCTAGACAATGCCCTTCAAACATGACTTCCCCTGCTCCCATGCAAATACAAAAATGTACGTGTCATTACTGAACAACTTTCCATAAAAAAGTAACTGCGAACTTGACCTCGGAACGTTAAAAACGGACGGGACAGTGAGTAATACTCAAATGAACCTATAAGACTGACGGAGTTATAAATATACCGGGGGATTAATTTATTTATCAATTATATTCATGAACAATAAGCAGTAAATTATCCGTCGAACTATACACGTTAGAGTGATTTTTAAATACAGAAAAAGGTATCAAAACACCTTTAAGGTGAAGTGTATCACTAATCTTACACACGTTTTAATCGCAGAAAGTTCCACCTCAGAGGTGATTTTCTACTTTGAGTATTCTTCCTTCTAACTATATATACCAGCATATATACATGACCAAGCAACAAAACGGCACTGATATTAGAGTTGCTTTCCATGCAAGGTATTCGTATCTCATTAAGATGCAAAGCATTTATGATTCCTAGATAAACACAATGAGTTAGTAAAAGTAATTTTTGATAATTTTTTCATTCTTTATTTCAAATACCTCTATTTTAAACAATAACTAGTCATATAGTAATATGCATCGCATGATGTGATTTATGTAGAACACTTTTGTGCAATATAACAAATAAATAATCGTCGAAACTAATACGCATAAGGAGTATTTTTATGGAAAAAACGTTATAACTTTTTTGATATACAAACTACGAAATATTCATTTAAAGGAGGCTGAAATGGTCAAGAGAGACATCAATATATGGCATAGATGACATCATGGTGAAAATAATCTGCGGGTGAGATACTTAACGTTGAGTAGCAAACCTACTGGAGATTCCTTTGGCGACGGTACAAAACTGCCTCTCTTCTTGTCCTCGATGTCAAGTGACGTTGTTTTGGCACTGGCTGCAAACTTTTTCCTTAGATTGACTGCGGAATATTTGTCTACAGGACTAGAGGAACCGGCTGTATGATAACACAATAATCAAATGATAACAAACATCAGTAAGGATTAGCCTCTCTTGAGTAAATTGTCCCAAATGTTCATACCTTTAAATGTATATAACTGTACCAATACTTTTTTCTTTCCAATAGAGAATATTAATATAATATTTGTCTTTCTTATTAAGATAGTTAAAAACAGATTAACATATTACAGCAATACCAAAATAGGACAGCGTCAAACGCAAGGCTAAATGATGCAGCGTTATGAAGCAAATGTCAAAATTACACAGCGTCAATACGCAGGGACGAAAGTACACAGCGTCAGCGCACGGTTAAAAATTACAGCGTAAATTTGCTAGTGTATAATATTACAGCGTCAACACTCAACGCCAAATATCACAGCACCAACACTTTACGCCAAATAACACAGCGTCAACACTCAGCGCCAAATAACACAGCGTCAACACGCCAGGCCAAAATTATACAGCGTTCACGCGGTTCATAAACCACAGTTTAAATATAGTATATGCAAGTACAAAACAACACAGTGTCAACACGCAAGGTCAAAATAAGACGTCAACCGAAATAAAACAGCGTCAACGCACGGCCAAAAAAATGTGTAAATACGTAAATGCAAATAACATTAACATTAAGTCAAACGACTCTGAATATATTCTGATCATAATATTTTATTAAAATGACAATTAGGTATATAGAAAATGTATGCCTCTTATCACATATGATTCTAAACACCACATTCATAACGAAATGCTTAATCCGAATATTTTCCAAGTTTTCTTTTAGAATAAGAAAACACTGTTAAATAAGTAAGGTCAATACTATAATTATCACGATCGGCTCCATATAAATAATGTTTAACTCAAAAGTTGCCCAAATTTTAATGAGAAATAATGAAGAATAAATTCAAATTTTTGTTCAATAAGTAAGGCCAATACTGTATGATGATCGGCTGTACATATTTATATATAATAAGACTTGGTGACAAATAATGAAGGATATATTTCTAATGCTGTTCCAGCATATCCGAGTTTTGAACTAAGTTAACACAATGAAAATACTGAATCTAAAACGAGATTATTACAATTCATCAGTCTCAGGTTTTGAAAAAATCCAATATCAGCTACTTTTTTTACCGTTATATATGTTCCGCTTCCTGACGTTTTGGTGTCCTGGTCTGACAAACACAGATGATTACATCAGAGCTAGGTCAGAACATATAGTTTTCGTGTCAATAAAACCAACATTAACCGATTTTCTATAATATTATTCTTTTTTATTTCAATCTGATATTTTTTCTGTGATTTTCCATTTACATGACTAGACGTGACACGTAAATCAATACAGAAGGCTCATGGTTTTAACATTCACCTGACTTCTGACATATGATACGGCTGCTATTGGTAAGGATAAAACAAAATGTTCATGTCAGGACTGTTGTTCCTGTAAAAAGTATAAGTTTTATTATTTATGACTTGCTCTTGGGGATTCGATTGTAAATGTTATAAAAACAATACTTTTCAGTCTTTGTCATTTCATGTCCCTTGGGGTTAGGGGCCGGAAACATATTTGATATGTATTGTTATTTTCTCAACTTCAAAACATATCTATAAATCTAACAGAAATCCAGCGGGAACTGTTCAAGGCAAACCCATCTTTTACTCTGTATATGTGTATACATAAATATATATTCAGCAAATTTTTGTGAGCTTGTTAGGGGTTAAAGTGACAAAAAAGGATGAGGAGCTGTTTACATGGGGAGCTTTGCTGAATAGGTATCACCTAGCCAAGCGATCATTTTAGACATAGTGTCATATATTGTTTTGCAACAAAAGAAGTTGGCATATAAATTGTTTACAGAAAATGATGGACGCAAAGACGATTTGTAATAGATTGTTTGGACCCTTGGCCATCTAAGGAAATATAACAATAACAAAACCAGGATAATAGCAGTGGTTGTTTACGTTGTAAACTAGCCGATAACTTTAAGAAACATGTTCTACAAACTTCTAGGAGACATCAGAATTGGGCAGCTTCAGAAATGGTTATGCACAACGCAAGACGGACGACAGACCATTTGAACCAAAGGCTCAGGTGACTTAAAATATGATATTGACTAGAAGCGTTCTGAAAGACTTGGCGTCAAGACTAAAATGAGGAATACACAGTTAATATCAATTTGGCCATCTGAATGCAACGCCTCAATCACCAGTCAAAAGCACTTTCCCATGTCAACATCACCGTTAATGAGCTGTCACAATGATAGCAATCGGATTAATCACTTGTCAGAAAAAACGAGAAACGAATAAATAAATAAAATTTGTCAATAATCCAGAGCCACTGCGAAACTGCGAAACATTTCAGCACACTGAAAAAAATATTGCATCACAGATATGGGACAGACATTAGGAAAATGGAAAATTGTCATTATAGTTTCGAGCATCAAACTATCAAAGACAGTTAGGACTAGGTTTATGAAAGAGCGCAGCCAAATTCAAGTCGTGAAGAATTTTTTGGGGACATGAAATGGATTCAAAGAGTCATTAGCCCAATTTTTTTTCCACACACACAGCACACGTGCAAACAAACACACAGAACAACGAGCGCACGATACATCCAGTAATATTTCTGGTCATATACTCAAGTATATAGCTCATATATCAACAAATCAAAAGATGTGATATTCAGGAGAGGCCTGTTGAAGGATCCTCAATCAATATCAGTGCAAATCTGTGTAGTAGACTGATGTGTATATTAATTAGTGATAATAGCGTGTGGTAAATTGCTGCCAGGGATAATAGCAAAATACATAACTACAACCCCGTTATGATAATTTCATAACGACTAGCTAACCTTTTTAGTGGTCCGTGTAAAATGCTACCAACCAAGTTAAGGATTCCCGTACCACTGCCAAAAACAAAATATGCACTGGAAACTTTTCTCCGACAAAGGTTTGATTAAGTACTTCTAAAAAGAAAACTATACCTTGCGAAACATTTGTTAAAAAGTCAGATTAAGTGAACGAAAAATCAACAATCGTGTTTTAAGTGTAAAAATGCAACAGGGCCAGACAGGAATTCGAACCCCAGACCTCTGATCATTAGACAGTCGCTTTAATCAACCGCGTTTCCTGGTCAAAGGTACGTAGTACCTTGGCTCAGCTGCACAGCAGTGATATTCAAAACGAAATGAAAGGGAGGTTACTCTATGTTCGAAAACCTGCAGAGGGACAGGTATCCTTAAGAATCACTAACCGATTAAGTGACCGATATGACTTATTTCCCTTTAATTTGTATTATTATGAATGGATTTATATATATTGCTTACTTTTTTTTTAAATTCTTTTTCAAACTTCCCAGCTGCTTGACGTGTTTGGTTTGTGAAATTTGTTGGACAGTTACATTGGAAAGCAATAACAGTTAGGAAGCAGATAAAATACATTCATTTTGCCTGTTTTACATGATTTTATGAAACCATTTTACCGCAGATTAACCATAGCAACTACGTGTAATTTCAACGTAAAAACTATTAAAAGGACGAATAAAAAGATGTAGTTTTTTTCTCTCGACAACTTCCACTCCTATTCCTAGTTATTTCACTTTTCATTATTGTTAAATAGAAAATATGGATGGCACCGTTACTTCTATGGATGTGTTTGGTCTCCGTTTGTTTATTACGTAAAACCATTGAACAGTAAGATAGCCGTAAATAAGTAAGTGTGTTACATGAAATCGTCACATAAGAAAGTTGTAGCTACAAGTATCCATTTGACTACAGTGACACATCAGTCATTCTTATTTTGCTGTAAGGGCTAGGTTGAAATTTATTTTTAGTGGTCAAACATTTTATTCGCTAATGATAGTTTACAGACACTATTTATTATCTTAAGTAATTATATATTTAAACAGTGAATCAAATATTTAGAATGTGTGGAAATAAATTGCCAAACTTTGTCCAGCTTATTGTTAACGCTAGAAAAGTACACACATGCATGTATATATATATACATATATATTATTTTTTTTGTATTAAATATATCTACCATTCCTAACGATGAACGCTGTGAGTGTGAGTATATGATGGTGATACAGTTTGTGCACTTCAATGTTGCTATACTGTACTATACTATCTTACAAAGACTTTTTTTGGCTCTCCAGTATTTCGTAATATCTTTAAGGTCACTCAGCTGATCTACATCTGGAAATGATAAACGTAAAACGAGATCAGTATCCATTGAGACGTAAGCGAATCAGTCGAAGCAGATGTGTCATCGAATCCCGGCTCTGCTGTCTCTCTTTTTTGGAAAATGTACAAAAAATAATAACCGTATTTGTATGAAACTTACAACATCTAATTCAGTATTCCTTAACCAAATACACTCTTGTTACAATTTTGATGAAAAAAAGCCATCCTTGTAAATTATGATTCCCTATTTTTTAAAACATTTTGAAAGAAATCTTTTTCGGTTGTGCCTCTGTTGTTCCCATTTTGATGTATACGGAGGTAACCCTATCCGTTTTAAAGTGTAGTAATAGTGGTATACAGATTCTAAAACATGCTTTCATTATTTCGTTCTTTGCAAGAATGAATTAGATCCCTCTCGAATTTCTGTATGATATGTGGTTTGCTATACACATTTTTATTTCAATCTATTTTGGATCCAACAGAGGAAACGGAAACATGATATGACAGTATACGTATATTACCATAAAACACTTCTCACTTACACTAAGTCTTATGGGTATGCTGTCCACCATTACCAAATTGCATGGATAGCATGTCATGTACAAAGTTAGTCGTTTAAGGGTTTTATTTCGTTTTCAGTCGCAATTATTATCAAATCCTAAATACGATCGTGCCATTCTAACAACACGAAAAGCCGTTGAGACATTGATATAATTGCTTACGTGATTTTGTCTTGGTTCGTAAAAATTAACAAATTGTACATTGATTCAAAGTAAAACCAAGGTTGCGATCTGACCGAGAGTTGTGACATTTATATGTTACTCTTCATTAACTACCGAGAACAAATGTTATTCTGAGGGCATGTTCAACATAATAATTATTATTCATTGTGTAATACACAGTTTGCATAACAACACGAATGTTCAAGGATTTGTTCCTTAATTTAGACTAGACCCTCATTTATACCAAGGGTTTAAGAATTATTGTCATTCCTAAATGAATCAGCATCAAAATTAACTTGCAGCTGATTGTCAATTTATGTTAGATTCAACACATCCATGCACAGAATTAAACTTGAGAAAGAAAGAGCTATGTGTTAAATGGAGGAATTAAACTTGAAAAAGACAGGGGTATTTGTTAATGGTTGGGTTAGGGTTAATCACCTCCAAAACAAGTGTTAGTGAAGGAACTGCTCTTCTTCTTTGTGATCTCATCAATGCCGAGGTGGTGTTTGGAAGGTTCGGGAGTATCCAGGGAGAAACTCTTCATACGTGCATTCAGTTTTTTCCGACGACCTTTTGGGCTGTGGCTGGCTGAAACGACAGATGGATAAATTGGGTATTGAATATAGGCAGGCACTTTTTCATGCTGGTTTGTTAATAACTCATTACCTTTTTTTCAGCAAATCTTGTCTCCAGCCAGTCCTGAAATTCTGTCTCGTGTGTATAACTTTAGAAATACTGCCTGTTGTAACAGTGCGGTCATGTTTCGTATATGTCAATAAAGAAACAAACATGGAAATGTGTTTCTGAGAACGAAAGTATGGTATTACCAATTGTTCGTGTTTACAGCACCCGTGAATCGGTCAGTATGCTGATGGTCCGTGTCAGGAACGCAAGTATATTGAACTTTAGTTTTCGAGGCAGGTTTAATCTTACAAGACATCGTGTTTAATTGAGTGTCTGCTCCTTCACCTACCTTCTGAAGTACATTTGGTTTATTTTTAATCTTGTGGTTGACATGTACTAAAATGATGTGTTTATGTCAATCTATTTCCATTCATCAGCACAAATTGTAATTTATATTTCTCGTATAAGTGCGCCATTTTTTACTGCAAACAGCTGAATAAGCAAAACAATTTTGGAAGGCATATATGCACAAGAGCCCGTGTAAAACCTAATCTCATATCATTTTTAATATAATTAGAAATAGGATATGGGCATAAAAACACCCTATCTTGGTTGATAGGAAAGTTAATTGCCAGCCTATACCATTCGTATGGTAGTATATATCCTTGAGCGCAGTCCTTCAGACCCAAGGTCAAACTGGCAATGGAATCTGTACCTTCCTTAAAACATTTAAAAAATTGCCATGTTTTCGTTGTCATGATAGCAGTTTCAGCACCAAAACTGTGAAAGATATTTTAACTCATGCACCCCTGAAATTTCATAATGAACTTTTCCAACCTTTGAAATGGAAGAGTTCAAGTGTGTCTTCAGGGGTGAAAGAGTTAAAGTGAAAGAAAACACAACAATTTTAACATAGAAGCTTGAATAATTCGCAGCGGGTATTATGAACTCATATTACAGATTTGAAAATT